GGGGCACGTCCGCGGCGGGCGGGGCCGGGGCACCGGAGGCGCCCGGGGGTTATCGGGGAACGGCCGGGCCGGGCCGGGCTCGGCTCAGCCCCGGGGCAGCCCCGGAGCTCGGGCGGAGGGTGCCCGGTGGTCGCTTACACCGGAGGGGCCGCCGGTGCTTTCGGGCGCGCCGGGCTCTTTTCTCCTTAGGAAAACCGAGGAGTTTCATTCCCCGCAGCCGCTTCTCCGGTTTCCCGCGGCTGAGGAGCGGCGAGGAGCCTCTAAAGCCTAAAGATGCTGGGGATAATCCGCGGGGCGGGGCGGCTCCGCAGCCCCCGGTGGGCACCGGGAGCTCTGCCCCGGGCTGGGCTCCGCCCTGGCGGGTGCTGGAGGAGCCGGGGGAGCAGCCCTGGCTTTGTGGCTAGCAGCCGCTCCTGGTTTGAATCCTTAAACAATTTGTAGCCTATTTGCGCTTAATTCAGCACCGTGGGACCAAACCCTGGGAGTGAAGGCGTGCGAGGATCCCGGGAAGCGGGGATCCCGGGAAGTGTGTGCTCCGATAGTTCCTTCCTCCAGAAGTGCCTTTTCATTCTGCAGGGCACAGCCTCCTCCCAAAGCTCACACTCCTCACCTGGAGCTGCCCGGCTTGGCCTCATCCCGCTCCCCCCGTGGCCCTGAGGCTTTCCTGGCAGCTTTTCCCTCCAGCCTGGGGGATGAGGAGGAGGCAGCTCCTGTCCTGGCTCTGGAAAGCCCTGCAGGGACAGGGATCAGTTGTGTAATGCCCGTGTTGTCCTGCCTGGCCACGCCTGGGCTCGGTGTGGAGGGGTTTGGCCTCTCCAGGTCTGGTTTAAGGAGCAGGCTGGGTAGCATCTCGCCCCACGGAGCATGGGTCAGTGTGTGCCTGGACTCTGTGCCCTCAGGGGAGGGACCCTGACTTCGACCTGGCTGTGCAAAGCTTAAGGGCAGATTTTATAGCTGTTTTAAATGGCAAAAAAGGTTAGATCCTCAATTATCTCTTCCCAAACCGAGAAGCAAAGGTCAGGCCAGGCAGGAACCTGGCCCCAGTGTGGCTCTGGCCAGGCTCTGCCACCCTGAGCACTGCTGTTAACACCCCGGGGACTCCTCCCTCTGCGGGGGGAGAGGTTGTTTTTAGTTTGAAGGTGACTCTGGAGAGTGTTATCTGGTCTCTCTGCCTTCCCTGCTGGCTCAGATACCACGCCGTGCCCGGGGAAACATCCAGGAGCGTCTGGGCTTGGGGAGCTGAGCCCCACTTGCAGCCTGGCACCCTCTGGGACATGTGGCAGCAGCCCTGATCCACCCCAGTGGGCTGGTGCTGGCCGTGCTCCTGTTCTTGGGGCTCAACAGGCGCTTTTTCCAGCCCAGGGTTGGGATTTCTGCTCGGGACAGGGAGGGCATTAATCCCATGGGAACGCGAGTGGTGCTGGCTGCTGCTGCTGCTTGCTGGAGCCTTTTAACCTGTTTGAGCTGCACGAGGCACCCTCTAACTCGGAGCAAATAACCTTGCACAGCTTATTTTGTCAGCGTGCAGTAATCACCTTGTAGCTGTAAAACCCTTGATCTTTAGCAGTTCTGGGCTGTGCTTGCAGCAGGCGGGCTCGGACAAGTGCTGTGGGCACTGCCAGGGCTTGATCACAGGCCTGTGGTGTGGAAAAACCCCTTCTGGCAGGCAGGGCAGTGGTTCTGGGGGTGGAACCCAGCTGATGGCCCCATCCCATAACGTCTCTGGGTGCCCCTGAACCTCCTGGTCAGTTAAAATTCCTGTCTGCTTTCTCCTAAGAGTGCTTTGGTCACCCCACAGTGGGGGTCCTTTCTCGTTCAGCCATGCTTATTCTTCAAGACTTTTACAGCTTTAGTAGGAAAAGCTAGTTTTTCCTTTGAAAAATGTGGAATTAATTTCTTTAGGGGTCAAGCTTAGCTTACAGGCTAACTTGTCTTTCTTGAGTTTGCTCAAACTTGGGTTTGTGACACTGATTTGTTCCTCAAATTCTTTTGTTCCGTTTTGTTCTCACAACAAGCAGCCTTAGGATTTCTCATTAAAACATCTCCAGGCTTTCAAAACCACCCAAAAACTTTTCCTAAGCCCTCTTCCTCTGTGCCTGTACGTCACGGTGCATCCGTGGAGGGCTGTGTATAATCACAAAGTGCTTTTAACTGAGCAGAATTAATTCCTGGAAGGTTCTTGGGGTGCCTGTTAGCACAGGAAGGATGTGTCTCAAGCTCAGCTCCTCCTGAAATCTGGCTGGGGGCGAGTCACATAGTGACCTCCACTTGTGCCTGATGGTTTTTCCTGAAGTGGAGCTGCTGAGCCTCCCTTCCTGCCTGCCCTGGGAGGGCTCCTGGGGCTCTGTGGCTGCTGCCCCACGCCTGCCCTGGAGCCCCAGGGTGTTTGGCAGCTCCACTGCCCAGACCGACCTTTGGACTGGCTGGTTCCAGCTCTGAACCTTCTGGCTGCAAGGGCAGGGTGAAAAACACCCCAATTCCAGCCTGTGCCTCTGGTCTGCTGCTTGCCAGTTCAGCTCTGCAGGCTGAGATGAAAAGTCAGATTTCCCCGTTTGTACGACAACAAATTTACAACTTTCCTCACCTGGCTCGTGACGTCTTGTGGTCTGCAAGACTTTCCTCCTCCTCCCCAAAAAAATTCTTACCTTGGGGTTGTGCTCAGGGGTTCCTGCTGGGGGGCTGAGGGGTGGAAGGAGGGTGTGGGCAGGCCAGGGGCTGGTGGCTGCTACGTGTGGCTGTGCCACGGCCAGCCAGGGGGGGCCTGGGCCCCGGCCAGCTCCGAGCTGCAGCCAGGCAGCCCGGGGCTGTGCAGCGAGGGGGAATGGACACCTTCCTCCTGGGGCCACTGGGGCTCACTGAAGCTTTTTTCCTGTTGTAATTTTCTTACTCAAACTGGCTCTGAGGGGGCTCGCTCAGGGTCCTGCTGCCTTCCACACGGTGATGTGAGCTGTGCAGCACAGGCTGGGGGATGTGGGGGCTGCATCAGCCCCTGAAACACAATTGTAGTGTTTTTATTGTGCTTTGGTGCCACACAGGGGCCTTGGGCTGTGCCTCACAGCAGGTGGGAGATGCCAGGGGCATCCAGTTTGGACAGTGGCACACACTGAGTGCAGTGGAGCTGCAGGAGATGTGAAATGCAAGCGAGCAGCCCTGCCTGAGCCAGGCAGAGTTCAGAGTGTGGAGGGGAGGGAGGGAAGAGCACGCTGATGTGGAGACAGCGTGCAGCCTCTTCTCACTCACCCAGGGTTGTTTGTGCTTGTGGAAGGTGAATTCTTGCTTTTTGCACTAACACTTTGCACTAATACCTCTTCAACTCATAGCTGGTTTTATAAAGTCACCGCTGTCTCAAAAGAGACTGGCTCAGGACAGCGTGGAGTTGTACTGCGAGGCGATTGGCAATCCCATCCCCGAGATCCAGTGGTGGTTTGAGGGCAACGACCCCAATGAGACCTATGCCCAGCTCTGGGATGGCGCACGGCAGGACCGTGTCAAAATCAACGCCACCTACAACCTGCACTCTACCAGCACCATCTCCATCGCCAACCTCACGGGCGACGACTCGGGCATGTATGAGTGCCGGGCTAGCAACGACCCCGACCGCAACCACTTGTCGAAGAGCCCCAAAGTCAAGTGGATCCGTTCCCAGGCGAACGTTTTTGTCATCGAACGTGAGTGGCCACGCCGAGGCCTTGGCACTTGCTCGGACACCGGTGTCTTGAGTCTCCTGCCGTGCTCACCCCTGCACCCGTGTCCTCCCGAAAGCTCCCCCCACCCTCCCCCCCCGGCTGTAGAAGTGAGAGACTCCCACCCTCTGTCGGTGTCCCCACCACCACCTGTGACTTGACCCGGAATGGCCCTGCTCAAAAAGGGTTGTGGCTTCCCAATCCGTTCGCCCTCCGGCGATCCCGCGCCTTTTCCGGAGCCAAGGAACCTGGAACCCGTCCCCGAGCGCCTCCGAGCCCCGGTGCTGGCTGCAGAATTGAGCCTTCATTCTGTGGTTGACTGTGCCCTAACCACCACTGACCAGCAGCCCTTCCCTGCGGCTCGTACAGCTCCCGCTCCTTCCAGCAGCCCTGCTTTGAGCTCGCTTCTGTGCTGGTGAAACCCAGACTGTTGGGAAAACAAATCCTGCTTTGAGGTCTTGAGATGCACCCGTTTTTGAAGTGGCCGTGTCTGTGTGACACCTGAGTGTTGGTGGTGTTGCTTGTGCTGGGGACGTGGCCGGGTTCCCCCTCGCAGCGCAGCGCCCAGGCTGCTTCCAGATAGAAACCTGGGAGGGGGATTCGGGTCCTGCTGAGGTCTCCCCGTGAGTGCTGGAGTTAGGAGAGCTGCCTTTTCAGCAGAAGTGTGCTGCGGAGTGCAGAACTCCAGCAGAACCCTCCTTCCAGTGGAGTTTGGAGAGGAGGAAATGAAAATGCCTGTCAGCCCTGGCAGGAGCTGGGATGGAGATGGGTGGAAGGGATGGGGCTGTAGTGGCACTGGGGCTGTGCAGTGGTGCTGCTGATGGCAGCTGCCTTCTCGGACAGCCTCCTACAAGTAGAAATGCCTGAGTCATCTTAGGTTGCATAATTTACTGCTGCCTGGCACATGGAGGTCCAGGACCTCTCTGTGTTCTCCCTGGAGCCATTCTGACCGAGCCCTTTGGGCTGCCACATGATCCTGTCTGCTCCCCCTCACCACAGAGGGTCCCTCTGTGCTACCTGGAGGTTCTGAAGCTGCTCAGGTGCTGGGAGGTGTTGACACCCGGGCGCTGTGGTGGCTCAGAGCAGCAGAGAGCCGTGCTCTGCCCTTCAGAGTGACCTTTTCCATTGCTTATTGAGCACTGGGGCTGCACCCGTGGGAGGGACAGCGGAGATTGGAGCCATGCAGGACACAGCAGCCAGCCTGCTCGTGGGGGGAGCAGCTGCAGGGCCATCCCAGGCCTGGCCACCTGGCCTTGGGGACTCTCTGGTGCTGGCCAGGTGTGGTAGGGATCTGTGTGAAGGTAAGTGGAAGCTGGGAGTAGAGACAAGGAGCTGTGGGGTTTGCATTGCAGGTTCTCGGGCACCTCGTCAGCTCTGCCCTACCCTGGGTTAATTTAAATCCAATTCTTTATGAATGCAGGTCCAGAAATTACTACTGGTGTGACTGAGGCTTCTGGCAAGGTGATCCTGAGCTGTAACATATCTGCACCACACCTCGCCATCACGGGCCACAAGTGGATTCACAAGGAGAAGACCCTGGTGGAGGACAGCAACTCGGGTGCTTTTACCAGCTACGAGTGAGTGTCAGGGCAAGGCAGAGCCTGGGCACGGGCAGGGTTTTGTCCCAGAAAGCAGCTGGTGTTTGCTGGCAGCTGGAACCTGGGCTGAGTTCTTGCAGCCCTGCTGATGGGGCTTAGGGACTGTGGAGTTTAACAGAGTTTTGGTAAGGCCCTGCACTCTCCTTTATGGGGAGGAGGGCAGTGAAAAGGAGGAGAAAGGGGCAGTTCTGTGCCACAAATATCCTCTTAGAAAGAGATTTCCTCATCTGAAGCAGGTGTTCAGCTGGACTCTGGCTATTCAGAGCTCTGAAGGCCACCAGCTGCCAGCTCCCCGTGCATGCAGCAAGAGCCTCCAGTGCAGGTTGTGTCTCCCTGGGGCTTTGTGCCCCTTCCAGAGTCCCAGAAGGAGCTGTGATCCATGCTGGGCACAGCCATACCAACCTTATTGTGGCAGTGCAATGAGCTTTCCTTTCTGATTACAGTCAGGCCTGGCTGGCAGTGACCCAGCAGCTGTGGAGGCATCATGTCCCTTTGTATGGCAGTGCCGACGTGCCTGTCTCCCCATAGCAACAGGGAGCTGAACAAGGATTAAAGTATTTATAACCCAGCCTCCCTCGCGTGACCTCAATTCCTCAGCTGAGTGGTTTTTGGAAGTGGGAAGCGCCGTGCAGGGCAGAGCTAACAAACAGCCCCTTGTCCCAGTGCAGCCATGGGACAAAGTGTGGGCCCCTTCCCTCGAGTGGGTATTACTGAGCAGCAGAATGGGATGTTTGTTGCAGGGCTGCATAATCCACTAAATCTCATTGCAGCAGCTTTACAGCAAGGAGAATGCGAGAGTTTTTCCTCTGTGAGGGGATCAGTGCAAAGCAGCACGGCCTGGGTGATCTTTGCCACTGCTTTGCCCTGTGTTTCACAGAGCTGGAGCAGTGATCAGGCATGACAAACCCGTGTCAGACGTGGTGCACATGAAACCCTCTCCTGCCACCCTCAGTGTGTGAGGAGAGTGGAGGCTTGGCTTGCTCTGGGTACACAGAGTAAATATTCTGCTGGAATGGGGGAAGTTTGCTGTGGAGGAGCCTGCTGATGCTTGTGGGTGTGTGATTCCATGAGTCTGGAGACGGGATGAGTTTGCTGGATGCTTACCTGAGCCCTGTTTTTGGCAGAATCCAGGGGAAGGTGGAGGAGCACTCTGGCATCTACGAGTGCGTCTTCGAGGCAAACCCGCAGATAAGAGGAGAAGTGAATATTTCTGGTAATTCCATCTCCTGGCTCCTGGGGTCTGAGGAGGGGCCTGGGGAAGCTGTGACCTCCTGAACACTTTGCTGAGGTGCCTTTTCAGCTGCTCCCGGCCCTCGTCTGGCTGCAGGGCTCTGCTCTCTGAGAGGCAGTGCTGTTGTCAGGCCATTGCTGTGTCTGCAGGGTCAGCCCTTTGATCTGGCATTAAACCAGCCTTCTGTGGGCTTGTTCCCACAGGAATCATGGATAGAGGGATAATACCTGCTGCACAAATCTGGGCCTTTCCTTGAAGCTGCACTTCCCTCTTTAAAAATGCCAAACTAGTGAGAGGAACAGCGTGACTGAGGTTTTGGGGTGATTCTGGTGGGGCGGGCTGCAGGAAGCACAAATCTGTGTGATTTCTATGACATGTCCAAACTTTATTTTTTTTCCCCCTCTTGCCTAGTTCCCCCCCAGGTGTCAGCTTACAAGAAGTCAGAGCATGGGAATGAGGGGGACACGGGCGTGCTGACCTGCAAGAATCCCTCTTTCCCTGCTGTCACCACTTGGACCTGGCACAAGAGTGGGCACGGGGTAAGTGCTGTGGTTTGCTCCTTCTTCCAGTCCTTGTGGCACCAGAATTGCTCCAAAGCTCAGTGCTCCCCAGGAGGGGGGTTTCTGTGGTGGTCAGCACTGCCCTGATGTAGGAGTGTGCCCTGTGTTGACGGAGTGACTAAATTATTTTTTGTCTGCTTAAAAAGGCAAAAAGCCCAGAAATTTCTCCCTCAATTTGGTACAAAGACTCCTCACAGGACCTTTGGGACTTCACCTCAGACCTGGGGCTGAGACAGAGGCCAAGAGGTCCCACCTGGGTAATTCACTAGAAGAGGAAGAGAACAAAGGAAATAACTGCTTTAGTGGGGTGTTTTACCAGGAGCAAGATCCTCTTGCCCCTAGGCTCAGTTTTTCTCTGCAAGAGCTTTGTTATTTTGCCTTTCATTAAACCTTTTTCTGTTTCCAACACTACCTCAAAAGCCATCCTGCTAATTTTATGCCATTCAAGGTAGCTGGGCTATCTCAAGTGTGATGGGTTCTCTAAAAGCTCATAAAACCCAACTCAGAGAAACCCATCACCCTGAGATCCCTCTTCTTCCTTGTGAAAAATGCCAGTCACTTGGTTTTTAAATTTTTCAAATTGGATAGTAATAAAATTATTACAAAAATAGTAATATAATTAGAGTAATAAAAATTTGGACAATTAGGATTAGGACAATACAAGACAATAAAAACAAAGAGTTACAGACAGTCCAGGTACCTCTTTCTGGGCAAAATAAGCCCGAAAAAGGACAGAGGATTAACCCTTAAAAACAGCAGCCTGTTGCATATTCATACACCTCATACATGGTGCATGAATTCCATTCAAACACAGGATTCTGTCTGATAAACATCTTCCTCTGAATCCTGAGCTGAGTGAGGCAGGAAGAAGTTAATTCCTTCTGATAAAGGAGTAATAAATTATTTTTCTCTGAAAAATTTAGATGTCCTGTGGCTGCTATCTCAGTGCCAGTACCTCATTCCTCTCTTTAAAAGTGTCTTACATAGCAGAGTTTCTATTTTAACGTTGTTATAACCTAAACCTATATTTAACACACTACTTAAGAAAATGAATACAGCATCACTTTCTAACATAACACATACAATGTTCATTTTAATATTTGCCAAGAGCCAATCATATAATACCCATTTTTCTCAGCACATAACTTTCTAACATAACACAGAGTATTCATTTGAATATTTGCAAAAAGCCAATCATAAAATACACTTTTTTCACATTGAGCTAGTGATACAAAAAGTATCTTACATCACATAGTTTCTATTTTAATATTATACTACAGGCTAAAAACTATATTTACCACACTACTTAAAAGAGATTAATACAGCATCACTTTCTAACATAACACACAGAGTATTCATTTTAATATTTGAGAAGAGCCAATCATATAATACATATTTTTCACAATACATCATAACTTTCTACAGCACATATAATATTAATTTTGATATTTGTGAAGAGCAATGGTATAAATGCACATTTTTCACAATAGATCATAACTTTGTAACATAACACATATAGTATTCATTTGAATATTTGCCAGGAGCCAATCCTATAATACGCATTTTTCACACAGCATAACTCTCTAACATAACACATATAGATTCATTTTAATGTTTGTGAAGAGCCAATGGTATAAATACATTTTTTTCACAATACATCATAACTTTGTGACATAACACATACAGTATTCATTTGAATATTTGTGAAGAGTCAATCATATAAATACCCATTTTTCACAATACAGCATAACTTTCTAACACAACACAAGAGTATTCATTTTAATATTTGTGAAGAGCCAATGGTATAAATACACTTTTTTCACAATACAGCGTAACTTTCTAACATAACACCTACAATATTCATTTAATATTTACCAAGGACCAATCCTATAATACACATTTTTCACACAGCACAACTTTTCTAACATAACACAGAGTATTCATTTTAATATTTGAAGAACCAATGGTATAAATACATTTTTTTCACAATACAGCGTAACTTTGTGACATAACACATACGATACTCATTTTAATATTTGTGAAGAGCCAATCATACAAATACCCATTTTTCACAATACGGCATAACTTTCTAACACAACAAATAGAGTATTCATTTTAATATTTGAAGAGCCAATGGTACAAATACGCATTTTTCATGATACAACATAACTTTCTAACACAACACGGAGTATTCATGGCAATGGTATAAATACACATTTTTCACAGAGCATAACTCTCTAACATAACACAGAGTATTCATTTGATATTTGCGAAGGGCCAATGGTATAAATACATTTTTTTTCACAATACAGCATAACTTTCTAACATAACACAGAGTATTAATTTGAATATTTGCGAAGGGCCAATGGTATAAATACATTTTTTTCACAATGCAGCCTAACTTTCTGACACAGCACACACAATATCCATTTACCATCTGCCAGGAGCCAATCCTCTGACACCCATTTTCCCCATCCCTGCTCCCTGCAGCGCCTGGACAACGCCTCGGGGCGTTACATCATCAAGTCTGGCGGCAACAAGACGGAGCTGCGCATCCTGAAGCTGGACATCGAGCAGGACACGGGCGATTATTCCTGCAACGCCGCCAACTCGCTGGGCACGGGCAATGCCACCGTCAGCCTGCGCGTGCGCAGCCGCCTGGCAGCGCTCTGGCCCTTCCTGGGCATCGTGGCAGAGGTGCTCGTTCTCGTCACCATCATCTTCATCTACGAGAAGAGGAGGAAGCCCGATGAGGTTCCTGACGGTGAGAGGCGCCGGGGTTTGAGGCTGTGTGGGAGGGTGGGGTGGTTTGGAGCTCGCAGAGGGCAGGCAGGGTGGGCTTCTGGGGGGCTCTGAGCTCCTCTCTCAGATCAGGGCTGTTTGAGGGCACTTGAGGAGCCGTGTGTACTTCAGCCATGAGGCTGTGCTGTTTGGTGGGCTTCTGGGGGGCTCTGAGCTCCTCTCTCAGATCAGGGCTGGTTGAGGGCACTTGAGGAGCCAGTC